CCACAGCTCAACATAACAACATGGCTTTACTTCCTATATTTCATCTTCATACTTTTCTACTGGACATCCTAGTTGTTTTTAAGAGATCTTTTCTTACCTTTTCACTAGCTGCACCTTTGTCTTCAAGATCTGAAACTGTCTTCGCTTTCACTTAAGCAGTTTTCCAAGCTTGTGACTGAGATTTTAATTTCCTCTGTATGTCTTTGACTCTGCTTCTTGGGATCTATTTCTTTCCTGTATTGCTCATTCTAGGAATCCGTCATTTTTCTAATTTCCTCTATTTTTTTTATCAATATCTTCTTATATTAATAACGGCTTCTAGCTGTTATTAATTCTCTTACTGCAATGTTTTCTTCAGATTGAGTTTCCTCCCTATGTTTCTATAGTTGATTCTTTACTTCAGAGGCTATGAGTTCTGAGAATTATTTTTTTATTTCAGAAAAGAATTCCACTCTGAGTTCCTCTATAACTTTATGCTGTTGCTTATTTACTATCGATGCTATTAATTCAAACATTTGAGCTGAGCTAGTAGAAAAGAATTCTGCTCTGAGTTCCTCTATAACTTTCTGCTCTTGCTTATTTACTACGGACACTATTAATTCATACATTTAAGCTGAGCTAGTGTCCTCTGCATTTGTTCTGTGTGGGCATTGGTTTTCCTCCATATGTTTCTGCATTTGATTCTCTACTGCAGATGCTATTCAGGGATTTCTTTTTTAATTTCCAATCTGAGTGTTCCTCTCTACCTTTCTGCAGCTGTTTCTTCATGTCAGAAGCTGTTGATTCATTGATTTCTGCTGCGTGATTTCCAATTTGTTCTGTGATAGTGTCCTCTGTACTTGTTATGGGTGGGCTTGGGGTCTGAGATTGCATTTTGCTCCTTCTCATTGTCATTTTGTGTAGCATTATCTTCTGGCCTTTGTTGTAGAGCTTTGGTGTAGTTATAACCTTAGCACCTACTGAAATTCAGGTGCAGATTTACAAAGTTTGGATTTATCCAGCTGAGCCCGGCTTGGGTCTGGCAGCTGTGCTCAGCTCCTTCCTGCTGCTGCCCTTGGGAGTGATCCTGTTGTGCCCCTCTGGCAAGATGTTCTGCTGCTGGCCTAGCTAGGTGGCTTTGTCCCCTACACTGTATGCAGGGATTGCAGCTGCAGGGTTTCACCCCAGACCTGTAGTCCAGGCCTGAGCTGAGTCTGGAGTGGAGAAGGTGGAGTAGGGGGAGAGGAAGCTCTCCCATATACTCACAGGGT